CGCTTGAGCCCAGGAGTTTGAGGTTGCTGTGAGCTAGGCTGACGCCACGGCACTTTAGCCCGGGCAAAAGAGTGACACTCTGTCTCAAAAAAAAAAAAAAAAAAAATTCAGAGCCATTTGCTTACACTCCAGGGGTTGTAAAAACCTAGAGACTTCCTCCTCTTTCCCTGGAGGGGATTTGTTTACATTCCAAAGCAAAAGCCTCTCTCTCTTTCTCTATGTCTGGAAGGGAGAAGGGGCTGCTATGCCAGCCATTCTACGTAGGCTCCAAATGTCATAGTTTGAGTCCCTCTCCTGTGGTACAAACCCTACTATATACACACACGGAATATATCTGGCTCCCACTGCTTCACCCTGTGGAGTACTGGAGCATGGGGATCTGATCGCTGATCCAGAAATCTTGTGTTCATACACACACACACACACACACACACACACGCCCATATGCCATAGATACATATCTACTCACATTTATATAGACATATCCACATAATTTTATATATGGTATATATAATAAAAAAAACACAAGATTTTTGATTTGCCAATGAATCTTAAAAATAGTTTTGTCCTTAGCTAGTTTTATGTATGTGTGTGCATTTGTGTGTATATATATACGTATGTGTATATATATATAAACTGTGCAAGTAAGTAATGCTGTGCTTCCCAAACCCTATACTTAGAACAAATGGGAATACTTTTAATCACAATGTTATAATGCCCATTTTAAAATACAAATTGGGACAATCCTCTTACAGAAGTTTTCAAATGGCGAAAGAATAACACAAAATTTTCGATTTGCCAATTAATCTTGAAACCAGTTAACATTCTTAGCTAGTTCTTTTACCAATGCTGTACAGAGTCCCCACTGGACCAATGCCTGCGTCTGTCCTCACGTGCCATTTTTATTCACATCTGTTTTAAAGATTGCTGTGGAATCTCCCCAGGGATTGAAAAGTAATTTATTTCAGACGTTCGGATATACTGGAAATGGAGAGGTAACAGAAGAGGTATTTGAAAAACCCGAATGTGGAGAATGGTGGAAAAAACTTTTGTTCAGCCTATGTTTCTTCAACGCTGTGGTCAATGAAAGAAAAAATTATGGATTATTGGGCAGGAATATTGCTTATAAATTTAATTCTTCAGACTTGGAGGTAAGTGTGGTCTTTTCAAAACAAATAGTAACAAATAAGTAACAATAAGATACAAACTGAGAGCTTACTGTGTGTCTACACCAATACTAAATGTTTTATATGGTGGTGAGAAAAAGAACTCTGTAACTAGGCAATAAGGGTTAATGTTTAAAACATGCACTTTGAAGCCACCTTGTCTGGAATCAAATTATAAGATGCAAGCTAGTTAATATAAGTAAGGCACTTAGAACAATTCCTGACACTTACAAATCAGTATAAAAATGTGTGCGGGTATTACTTATTCAAGCAGTATTACTTACGCAAGCAAAATTACATTGGCCCATGGTGGGATGGGGAAAGTTTACCTTAATAGTCTTTCTTTACTATTCTCTCTACAGAGCCTTCTATTTGCGCTTTATTGCAGGGTGTTTTCTTTACCGCTGAAGTAGACACATGGTAGAACCTGCTTCAGTTTTTCCCAGGTTACTTTTCTAGCAATTGTACTTCGAGTGCAGAACATTTCACCCTTGATTACCCATTCATTGCTATGTCAGAGCAGATTTTTTTTTAACTTTCTGAGGAAAATCTTGATTCTGCCTCAGAGTATCCATCACCTAGGCCTGCCCTAGATAGGTAGCTTTCTACGTCTTCTAAACGTCTCTATGAAGCCTTGCAGTTCTCACAAGAGGCTGTCATGCTCACTGCAAGCTCCATTTCCTGTCAGAGTATACGCTTCCACGCCTAACCAGGAACATAACCAGAAACAGCTGTACTTTGGGTACCTGTCAAGGAATATGAGCTCAAGCATGCTTCCGTCCAAACTTTATTCAAAGCTCAATCAAAATGTAAACAATATACATTAGACACTTTGGGGGGGGGAATAATTGATATATTCTTTTCATTTGAATAAAGAAATGAATTCAAGGAAAGGAAAAGTAACCTTTAATGGAAGCAGGATAATGTCTAAATTAACAAAGAAGAAAAAGGAAAATAAATAACAATTTGATCAAACTATCAAAAAATAAGAGACAGAGACAACAAAGTAAAATAAATAATAACAAAGCAAAATAGATGTTATCAGCCATTATGTTAAGTACAGATTGGCTGCATTCTTCCCTCATTAAAAGACAAAACTGTTAAACTGGGTTACAAAACAAAACCCAGATGTATGCAGTTTATAAGGAAAACACTTAACGAAGAAAGCTTGAAACTACCAAGACAATAAAAACAAAAAAAAGCAGGAATGGCAATATTAATACCAGGCAAAGTAGAATTTAAGCTGAAAAAGCACCAAACAGGAGAAAGAAACAATTTATAAAGAATATATAACAGCCATGAAAATTATTAACATTTGTAGAGTTTGCTCTCTACGCTTGTGCTCAGGCATGGTTTTAGGTGCTTTATGGAGTAATTAGAACTCACAACAACCCTATAAAGAAGGTAGTATTTTTTTTAAATTTTTTTTTTTTAAGACTAGTCAAATGCAGTAGTGAGGAGGAGAGTTAAGTAGTAGAACAAGGAGTTCAATCTGTAACTGACTGTGAACAATCAAGTGAGATAACTCACTACCTTTGGACCAGCCAAAGAAGGTAGTATTTTTTTTTAAGGGACAGGGTCTCAGTATGTTGCCCAGGCTGGAGTGCAGTGGCACAATCATAGCTCACTGCAACCTCAAACTCCTGGGCTCAAGCAATCCTCCTGCCTCAGCCTTTCAAGTGGCTGGGACTATAGGTGCATGCCACCACACCCAGCTAATTTTTTTAATTTTTTGTAGAAATGGGGTCTTCTCTATGTTGCCTAGGCTGGTCTTGAACTCCTGGCCTCAAGTGATCCTCTCTCCTCAGCCTCCCAAAGTGCTGGGATTACAGGCGTGAGCCACCACACCCAGCCAAGAAGGTAGTATTATCCTCATTTCACGGTTGATACAGGGAGATTAAGTAACTTGCCTAATTAGTAAGCAGAACAGGCATAGTTTAAACCTGAGCAGTCTGGCTTCAGAGTTTTGTAGTCTTAGTCATTATACATATGATCTCTACATTCATCAGACGATAGCATACTGTAGCATATATGGACACATATGTATATATAAACACACACATAGATACATGTGTATATATGTATGTATATATAATTATTATGAAAAATTTCAAAAAAAAAACCCCTCCATCTGGATTGACCAGCCCTAATAAGCAAAAACAAGACATAGAATAATATAGTCAACAAAATTGATTAATAGAACTATATGAAATTGACTAACATCCCTTCAATAGAGAGTACATATTTTTTCAGATATCCAAGGAACTGTTACAAAACTCAGTCATGGACACAGCCACAAAGAAAAATCTTTAATGATTTTATGGGCCACAATCTAATAAATAATAAAAATTTGACCCCCAAAAATCTTAACTTGAAAATTAAGTAACATGTCTCTAGATCTGAGGTCCCCAACCCCCGGGCCAGGACCAATAGAGGTCCCACAGCTTGTTAGGGACCGACCGCAGAGCTCCACTGCCCCTCCCCATGCCCCATCCCCTGGAAAAATTGTCTTCGATGAAACTTAGGAAGGGGAGGAGGGTCGCCCCCACACAGTAGGAGGTGAGCGGCCAGAGAAGCTTCATCTGTATTTACAGCCACTCCCCTCCCCATTGCTCTCATCACCACTGAGCTTCGCCTCCCCTGACGCCCACCCCCCAGCCCTCCACCTTCCCACCACACTCACCCCCACTGCCGACCCCCGTCTTCCACAAAATTGGTCCCTGGTGCCAAAAATGTTGAAGACCGCTGTTGTAGATAACTGTTTATCAAAGACAATATTAAAAAGGAAATCACAAAATATCAAACACAATGAAAATGAGATTACTTCATACCAAAAAGGACATAACAATACAAAAGCCATGCTCAGAAAAAAATTATGGCCTTAAATGTCTTTATTACTAAAAAAGAAATACGGGGAATGAATATTCATATTAAGAAATTAGAAAACAACAAAAGGAAATAAAAAGAAAAGACCATGTGTGGTGGCTCAGACATGTAATCCCAGTACTTTGGGAGGCTGAGGCAGTGGGGAATGCTTGAGGCCAAAAGTTCAAGACCAGCATGGGCAACATAACAAGACCCTATCTCTACAAAAAAATTTTTAAAAATCAGCCAGATGTGGTGGCCCTTAGCTGTAGGGCCACCTATGCAGGAGGCAAAGGCAGGAGGATTGCTTGAGCCTAGGAGTTTGAGGTTGCAGTGAGCTATGATGAGATGCCACTGCACTCTAGCCAGGACAACAGAGCAAGACCCTGTCAAGAAAGAAAGAGAGGAAGAGAGGAAGGGAGGAAGGGAGGAATGCTAATATTAATAACATAAAATAAGCAAAAAAAAAATAAATTCAAAAATTGGTTTTTGATAAGACAAAATTTGAAAATCTAGATGAAGCTGATGATTTCCTATAAAATATAAATTATCAAAATTGACTCAAAAATAAATGGAAATTGGGGTAGATTAATTGCCATAAAAGACATTGCAAATGACACCAGAATGAGATGGTTTCACAGCTTACTTCATTCTAAATTTTAACAGATAGTTTTAATATTATTTAAATTATTCCAGTCCTCAGGAAAAAGATGGCAATCTCCCCAGTTCGTTTTGTGAAACCGACATAATTTTATCATGAAAAGCTGATAAAGATAATATATATAAGAACTATACACTAATTTCACTTAGGACTTGAGATTAAAAAATTCTGTATAAAATATTAACAGATTTTAGCAAAGTATCAAAAGAATAATACACTATGACTACGCTGGATTGATTCCAGGAATATAAAAATGGCCCAATAACTGGAAATCTATAATCCTGATCTATATGATCATCTCAATAGATGTAGAAAAGGCATTTATTATGAATTTTGGAGCCATTCTTAGTAAAAATTCTAATAGGATTAAAAAGAACTACTTAAATATGACAAAGACCATCAAAAAACAACAGTGAATGTCATTCTAAGTTGTCAAATACTGAAGTCGTTTCAAATAAAATCAAGAATCAAACAAGGGTGCTCATTGTCACCATTATCATTCAACAGTATCTTAGAAGTTCTAGTAAATGCAATGAGATTTGAAAAATTACATAATTCACATTAACACTGTAAAAGAGAGACTAAAAAGAAAGAAAACTATTCATATTAACACTGTAAAAGAGAGAATAAAAAGAAAGAAACTATCTTTTTCTTGGTGATCAACTGTATTTCTAGAAAATCTAAGAGACTAGTAAAAACAATCTATTAATTAGAGAATTTGGTAAAGTGGCTGGATAAAAATATAAATATATAAAAATCAATTATATATTTCTCTAGCAATGAACACCTAAAAATGAAAGCAGGTAAAATAGTACTTTCGCAATAATGATGAAAACTTTAAATACTCAGGAACAAGTTTAACAGGAAATGTATGGGTCCTTGATAACATCATAAATTAGAAAGAAAAAAGAGAAATAGCATTCGTCGAGAGCTTAAAATGTCCTTATTGCTTTATGTGAATTATTCTATTCTCACAACAACATTACGAGATAAGTACACTAATTATCCTCACTTTACAGATATGGAAATAAAGGCACAGAACACTTGAGAAACTTTCCCAAGTTACACAGCTAGTAAGTGGCAGCCTGATTCCATAGCTCGTTGTTTTAATACCGCCTACCTTAAATAAATGTATTCGTGTTCTTTAGGGGAAGACTTCCCACATCATACTATCAATTCTTCCAAAATTAATAATCAAATATAATGTATTTCCAATTAAAATCCTATTAGGGAAGTTTCAGAATTGATAAAATTCACATAGAAGAAGAGACACTGAAGAAATAAGCTGGAAATGTACAAAAAAGAAAAAACTGAAGGGTTTTCCCTTCACCAGATATCAAAACACAGTAAAAATCCACTCTGCCAGAATCAGCGTTGTTTGGAAGAGAGGCAGACAATAAATCAGTGGGATATAGTAAAGAATGCACAAATAGATCCAAGTTTTTATGAAATTTTAATCTTTGACACAAATAGTATTTCAACTCTGTAAAAAGGGATTTTAAAAAAGTAAATGATACTGGCACAGCTAGCCATCCATCTGGAAGAAAATTACTGGCCCCTTTATCTCATATATAAAAATAAATTCCAGAATGGAATAAAATTTAAATGTATTATATAACAATACAAATATTTAAAATAAATCTAGGAGATTATTCTTGGAGTTGGGAACAACTTAACCAAAACTGAAAACCCATAAAAGAAAAGATAGGCATGTTTGATTATAAAAATTTTTATACGGCAAATGGTGAGAGAATTAAGTCAATAGACATGCAAATTAAACTAACAGCAAGGTCCTGCCCATCAGACTGGCAAAATTAAACAAATCAACATCTCCTATTAGTGGCAGAGATGACAGAATGGTGACAATTCTTTTCCACACTGTTAGTGGAAATGTGAATTGTTATAGCCACTAAACAACAATAGCCAAGACTCCTTGTCCAATTGCAGGACGGTGTGCCTGCTACACTAGCACGTGTGGAAAAGAAGATGACAGGAAAACAGAAAGGTGGACAGAGGAGAGATGGAAGATATTTGAAGGACAGAAGGAGGGTAGAAGGAAGAGAGGGAGAGAAGAAGGAAGAGAGGAAGGAATGAAGTCAACAGATGTGCACATAATTACACAGAATATCTGAAAGGACACCCAAGAAACTGCTAGTGATGGTGGCCTCAAGTGAGGGGCTCTGATGGCTAGAGAGTGGAAGAAAACTTACTTTCCCTTGTATACCTTTTTGTACCTTTTGAATTCAGTCCCATGTGTTAGTTTTTGTCTATTCAAAGAAGTAATAATTAAATAGTTCAACGTGTGTTCAACAATAACAAAAAAGAACTAATGGATAGAAATGTACACTGTATATCGTAATATTTTTTATTTCTTTTGCTATTTCCATATATTTAAAGAGAAAATATCTATAGCTGTTTGAGAGTTGATTTATGTTAAAACATCGGCGTAAGCTGAAAACACATACTGAAATAATAAAGACTAGTGGATTTTCTAAAGGTTGCCATAAAGGTGTTGGAAAATTCCCTGAATGGACAGTCTAATATTCCGTGGAAAGCACTGCGCTACCTGATCGGGGAAGTGATTTACGGTGGCCGCGTGACCGACAGCTGGGACAAGCGATGCTTGCAGACCCTTCTCTACAAATTTTGTAATCCTGAAGTTGTGAGAGATGACTTCAGTTTCTCTAGAGATGAGGTAAGAGAAGAATTTATCTTCTTACATTACTTGATTATTTTTAACTATGCATTGTTGCATTATTTAAAATATGTATTTCAATAAATTTTAATGTTCATTTTTAATGGCTTTTATTAACTTTCAGTATTACAAAAGTTTACTTTTACTCACTATTCTATTAAATACAATGTTATGCAGGGCAGTAAAAAAAGAATGATAAAGAAGTAGTTCATACCTTCTGAGAACCCAGAGTATAAAATACAAGGCACAAGAAAGCAGAGGCAAGCTAACATCTATAGATCAACTATTCCGTGACAGTTAACTTATATGTATTTCTCATTTAATGCTCAAAACAATCATGTGGAATAGATGCTGTTCCCAGTTTACAGGAAAGGAGACTGATATTCACAGGGTGCCAAGCACATGCAACTAGTAAGTAGCGGTGCTGAGATTCAAGAACTTTGCTCCTACCCCAACAAGATAAAATTCTACATCTTCTCTTGTTCTCTATCTCCTCTTCTCCCCGTTTAGTTTCTTTTTTTTTTTTTTTTTTTTTGAGACAAAGTCTCACTCTGTTGCCCAGGCTAGACTGCCCGTGGCATCAGCCTAGCTCCCAGCAACCTCAAACTCCTGGGCTCAAGTGATCCTCCTGCCTCAGCCTCCCAAGTAGCTGAGACTACAGGCATGCACCACCATGCCCGGCTAATTTTTTTCTATATATATTTTTAGTTGTCCAGCTAATTTCTTTCTATTTTTACAAGAGACAGAGTCTCACTCTTGCTCAGGCTGGTCTCAAACTCCTGAGCTCAAGCAATCCTCCTGCCTTAGCCTCCCAGAGTGCTAGGATTACAGGCGTGAGCCACCGTGCCTGGCCTCCCCCTTTAGTTTCTATCCTGCATCCAGACTTCCACTTTCGTGTGGCAGAAATCTCCAGGCTAGACACCAGCCACTAGGCCCCAGTCAAACGGTTGCTATTATAACATAGGAAAAAATTCTGCAGACCTCTGACCTTGGAGTATGGAGGATAGGACTTGACATAAATTTTGATGGGTGAGAATTTGGATAGGAGAGGTGTGTAGAAGATGAAAAGGAAGACGACACCTTGGGGGTGATCATTGTGAGTTAGGAGTGGCCTCGTATAATCAAAGGAAAGAGAAATCCTATCTAGGTTACCTGTCTAGTGTCTTAAGAGTCCAGAGAGATAGACAAAATGGTAAATGTGATATTTTAAGGGGATACATTTGTAAGTTAGCTATAGAATGGCTAGTAATAGTCTATGCTGATGACCCTGAGTCAAGAAGACATTAAAGTATATCCTTTATACACTATTTGCTAAGGCAGGAAAAGCCATAAGGTTTTTCTTTAAGATTTCCATTAAAAAAATGTTTAAAATAACATAATAATTTGTTAAATTTAGAGTCCTTTATATTGCCCCAAAAGTAAAATGTACATGGTCTTTGTATACAGACTATGACCTTAAGTATGCATTAAGTGAATAAGTAATAAGGTATACAGTACCATACAGCATACAGTTGCATTGGCAGAATTATATCAGACTACAGAAATGTACTCTGAAATCATATATTTCAATTGTTTAGCTGCTTTAAAACACTGGGAATTTTATGACAATTCCAACTTGCCAGCTCTTTCTGTTCTTTGTCATAATCTTGGCTTCTTCTGCAGGTAATTTTTTTATCAGTGACTCTTTGTGGTTTGATGTTTCCCTCTTGGCCCTCATTGATTCTTCAATGTTTTCCTTGAGGATATCAAAAAAGCCACCACCACCTACTTTCCTGATCATATGAACAATGCATTTCTCTTATTTGTCAATGGTCTGCTACTCTTAAGATCATTCCCACATTCCTTCTATAGGTTTTACTAAAGTAAAATGATTTGCTCAAGCTTTATTGCCTTGATGAAACGGGTGGTCAGAATCACCCTAGCCTTTAAAGTGTTTTTCTTTCTCTCTTTTCCCAACGAGAATGTTCTATGTGCATATCATGTGCACATTACAATACCATAGTCCCAGATGTTGCTTTTGACAGTGTCTACGATATACCACATACAGATAAGAACAGATTTCTATATAAAATTTCATGGGAAAATATTGTCTTTAAGCATTACTGAAAGTAGATACCTTACTCAGGCAAAAACTAACAAAGTGTTCAGAACAAGCAGAATTGAAGGAAACAAAAACTAACAAAGTGGTTAAATTTTTAGTTATATCAGCCAGTGCCCAAATGTGAGCCTGGAGGACTGCATACACATTATCCAGTCCCTACCTGATGAGGATTCTCCAGAGGTCTTGGGAGTACACCCTGAGGCCATAAGGAGCTGCAGGGAGATTCAGAGCCAGAAGTTCATTGAAAGTCTCATTGCCATGCAACCAAGAGCTACCACTGCTGCCACCCTCGAGATCCGGTAAGAACTCACCAGGAAAAATTATTGGTCAAAATTTGTTAAATATTCATTTGAAGAGATAGAATATAGAACTTGTAGAAAAGCATAATCTACATGGTGGAAAAACTAAATTCTCCAAATGACACAGAAACAAGTACACACACACACACATAAACACACAGACACAATTACAGAGCATGTAGTAGTTACTCAATAAGTCTTTGTTGAATGAGTGACTGAATTATACCTGGTGGGTGGTATTTTTAAAATGAATTTGTTTAAATGTGAAATGTACGTATTTACTTCAATAGCACAGGAAAAGATAACCATCCTAATAAGCAAAAGGACAGTATGGTCAGGGAGAACTAGCCCTGCATCTCGAGGTCTATGTGGATTATACCTTTCTTACCTCTGTTTGTAAGGTCATATTGCCTCAGTATCTTTATCCATAAATGGAGATAACAACTTTCTACCCATCAAGGCTGTTGTGGGGTTCAAATGGCATCCTACATGTGCAGCATTGGTGGTACAATGGTGAGCATAGCTGCTTTCCAGATGGTATAACATATACCCAAATTCCCAGGTCTCCTCAGCCTGTGACTACAAAATAAGATCATGTTTATTAATGCTACAGTGACATGGCTCGAATCCTCAGTGGTTTGATTGCCAGATGGATAATCCCACTCTTCCCTCCCATAGATAATTCCAACAAACAGTGCTCTGGCTGCTTCTAAACATCTAGGGCTCTCACTCATAGCTGCTCAGGAAATAGATAACACAGGCACACACACTTCTTCCTCTCTGCCTTCCTCACTGCGCCTGGATTCCAATCTCAGCTGCACCGCTTGACTTTGCAAACTTGAGGACATCAATGAACTCTTTCTGTCTCAGGCTCCTCATCTCTAAAGCAGAGATAATGAAAGTACCGACTTCACAGGACTATTCTGAGAGTCAAGTGAAATCAGAGGTAATAATAGTACCTAACCCACCTGAGTTCCTTATGTATTTAAGTTCTATTTGTAAGTCTAATGAGTTTTAGCAATCACTTTTAAAAGGTCTTTGAATAGTGTTTGATAAGTTTCATCTATGAGGGAGTAATAAAGTCCTTCCCAGACAAGCAATCACTGATGGATTTTGCAAAGACCAGACCAGCCCTACAGGAAGTACTCAGACCTGCATTACACACTGAACAGCGCAGTAAATACTCTTTAAAGTAAAATCATTCAAGAGTTAAAGCCTAGAACGTGGACTTCATGATGGCTCAAGGAGCAAAACAAAACAACAGGATTTCACCCAACAATATGAATGGAAATCTACCACAAATCTCAATCCTCTCAATAAATGTGAATGGCCTGAACTCTCCTCTGAAGAGATACAGACTGGCAGAGTGGATAAAAATCCACAAGCCTAGTATCTGCTGTCTATAGGAAACAAATCTAATCCACAAAGATGCCTTCAGACTAAAGGTCAAGGGATGAAAAAGTATCATCCCAGCAAATGGAAGTCAAAAGAAAGCAGGGGTAGCTATACTAGTTTCAGATAACATAAGCTTTAAAATAGCAAAAGTAAAAAAGGACAAAGATGGCCACTATATAATGGTGAAAGGGAAGATCCAACAAAAAGAGTTTACAATCCTTAATATCTATGCACCCAATACATGAGCACCCAGTTACATAAAGCAAACCTTGTCTGATCTAAATAGCATGATAAATAATAACACCATAGTAACAGAGGACTTCAACAC